CCAATCGTGACAATGCCGCGGTTACTGAACCGATGCACGACAGTATGGCTATATCATATAGTATATCTATTACATAAATAAAAATTTTGTATATAAATTTTATACATCACAGTATTAATAATATTGTTTCTCATATTAAATATTGACCATATAAATATGTATATAGATATATATATTATTATTTTTAAAATAAAAAATATTTTTAAAAAACAATATATATATAAAGTGACCACATCGAATCGGGTTGATACCCGATTCGACCGGCAGTGACTGTATTTGTTCGGATCTGTTGTCACCTGGACTGAACACGGCTCCAAGTTAATCAGGTCTCGAGTCGACTGGCTAGTCCAAGTGGAAAGACTATAGTCAATACTCATTTTTACAAAATCTAAATCTATCTCTCTCTATATATAAAGGCATTTTGCATTCATTCACATTCATTCAATCACAATTTACACTCTCGCTCACCAACCTGATGTCAACATCATTTTTTCACTAACCATCTCTACATTTATATACTCTTCTACATTTGTTAAATTATTTAGATGAAAATATATGAGATCCATTTATCTACCCATTCAATATTATTTTTATATTCTATTCTTAATAAAATAAATATTTAATTTTTTAAAATTAGAATAATTAATTTTAAATGCGTGAAAATACAAGTAACATCTGATAAAAAAACTTAAATTAAGATACACAAATTAAAAATAGAATAACAAAAAGAATATATTTTTAGTTGGTAGCAAAATGAGTCCAAATATGCTCACTAAGTCTGCACGAAGTTGGTGATGCGATGTATCGTCTCGTATCTTTGAATTTGTACGAATATAATCTTGAAATTCTCAATTTCAGCCTTGAACGGGTTATGTTGGGTCTTCATCTTCGTCATTGTACCATTGTGCTACTTCATCACCTTTATCTTCAACAATCATATTGTGTAAAACAATAAATATCAACATCATAAATTTGACTTTTCTTCTATACTAAGACCAAGCAGGACCTCTCATAATTGTCCATCGAGACTGAAGCACCCCAAATGCTCGTTCCTCATCTTTTCGAGCATCTTCATGTTTTTCTTTAAATAACTTTCTTTACGATCCGATGGACAAGAAAAAGACTTTACGAGCGTAGCCCATTTCAGATATATTCTATCTATCAAATAATACCCCTTTGTATATTGTGTGCCATTAATAATGAGACGTTTGGTGCATTTCCTTGCTATACATTGTTAAATAAAGAAAATTCATATATTACATTGATATCATTATGTGATCCTACAACACCAAAAAACGCATGCTATATCCGTAAATCGTGTGAAGTAACCGCTTCAAGAACAATTGTAGGAGACACATATCCTCTTATAAATTGGTCTTTCCAAGCAACTGGTCATTTTTTCCATTTTCAATGCATACAATTAAGACTTCCAAGCATACCCGAGAAACCGTAATTTTGTTCATGCATCTGGAGAAGTCGTTGAACATCACTAGCAATCGGTCTTCTCAAATATACATCATCAAAAGATTGAACCACACTTTCACAAAATTTAAAAAGACGCAGTTGACTCACACATACGTAAATATTCATCAACTTGGTTAGCTGGGACTCCATAAGCCATTTGACGAATGGTTGTCGTGCATTTTTTAAGTGGTGACAAACTCTTGCTTACCGTTCCATCGTTGTTTTGCTGAAAATATGATGATCGTGTTTGAAGTGCATTCACAACTCGTAGAAATAATTATCTTCGCATACGAAAACATATATGAAATATATTATAGAAATATGATGATTGTGTTTGAAGTGCATTCACAATTCGTAGAAATAATTCCTTTCGCATACGAAAACGTGTAAGAAATATGTTATCCGGGTAGACTGGATGCTCAGATAAATAATCACTTCTGAGTATGTCATGCCCGACTTCACGAAATGAAACTTCTTCTTTTACAAATTTCAATTTGGTGTTGATATGCTTGAAGTAACATGTGGCTTCATTGAGCATTGGATGGTATCATCAGAATTTCTAAATCGTTTGTGTCCTCACCATCTTCACTGTCTTCAATTTGGTGTTGATATGTTTGAAGTAACATGTGGCTTCATTGAGCATTGGATGATATCATCGCAATTTCTAAATCGTTTGTGTCCTCACCATCTTCACTATCGGTGTTGATGATGAATTAGAGTTTAATCAAGACGATATTGAGACATTTTTTTAGTGATCTAAATGAATTTCAAATTTTTGTTGTTGTGGTTTTTTATTCAATAAAATAATGTTGGATTGTCTTGAATGTATACACCTCTACATATATGATTATTGACAACATTATTCTATACAGTTGTTAAATTGATAAATATGTCATATCTCATGGCTAAGATCCTTATCTTAGCCTGCACCTTATCTTCTGACAACATTATTGCATATAGTTGTCGAATTGATAAATGTGTCATAGCCCATGCCTTATCTTAGCCTACACCTTATCTTCTGACAACATTATTGTCGTAGCTCATACCACGTGATTCTGACACAATGAATTGAGTTATAAATGTGCACATGTTGTAATATCCCGATATTTTATCGGTATAAATTATGTTATAGTTCCGATATAATAACATTATCAGTTATTATTTTCGGAATTAATTAAGTTCAGTCGAGATTACCGAAATTTATTTTCGACGTATCGTTTACGTTCGGAATGATTTTGGTAATTAAGCATTATGTTTAATTAAATAATTAAACATAAAGTAAGTGATTAATTATAAATTAATCACAAGTAAAGTCTAATAGCCGTGGCCATAAGTCCAAAAATGCCGTGAGATATAAGCATAAATTGGCCCAAATTATAGCAAATGGCCGTATGCTTCCTTAAGCTAAAAGAAAGTGATTTCT